GTTGCATACCTAGGGGCGCCTGGGTGGCTCAGTTGGTTAAGCGACTGCCTTCGGCTCAGGTCATGATCCTGGAGTCCTGGGATCGAGTCCCACATCGGGCTCCCTGCTCAGCAAGGAGTCTGCTTCTCCCTCTGACCCTCCTTTCTCTCATGCTCTCTGTCTCTCATTCTCTCTCTCAAATAAATAAAATCTTAAAAAAAAAAAAAAAAGTTGCATACCTAACAATCCTTAAGAACTCTTTGGGTTTGGTTGGCATTAAATCAATTCAGTGAAATATCACTGGTTATCTAAGGTTGATCAGATATCCAAGTTAAAAGTAATATGTACTAAATGAATACATAAAGGAAAACAAATAACTTTAATAAGTTCAGGGGGTTTTTTTTGTGAACAAGCAGAGACTACAGGAAAAGAAAACAAAGGGATATTAAATGAAGAAAAGTTCAAGTACCCTCTTTCATGAAATTACATTCCTTAAGAAAAAAAATTGGTGTATTGTAAAATAATCCCAGGATGCGAGGACAAAGCTGGGACCTGGGGGACACTGGGCCTGAAGTGGTAGGGTCTGGAGAAACTGACAAGTTGGTTAGATCCAAAGGGGGTGGCCAGTAGTCCAATGCCAGTGTTCAGGGGGGTGCAGCTACTTCAGGCTTGGCTCTGGCCAGCATCCATATTGAAGCAGTCCTATGGTAGTGAGTTCTATGACAGAATTCATGGCACCAAGCAGTAGAATTTGTACATGCAATAATGGCAGTTAGAATGGGTGCCAGTATGTCAAATATTCATGGGGGTAAGACGCACATCTGGGCAGTATCAGGACTCGATAAATGACCTGGTGTTCAAGACTGGCCTCAACTCCCAGTGGGAACTGGAGAGAAACCCACAGCTGAAACCAAAGCAAATGGAATAAAGCAACACCCTACAGTGGGGGGCAAGATGGCTGCTCTGGGCACCTGAATGTCAAGGATGACACTCCTTCTTTTAACACCAGGGTGTTATTACATGTGGTCAGGACCTAGCAACTGCCCCTGGCTGAGAGTGCCAAGGGAAGAACAGAAATGGATACAAATCTCAAATTTGTCTTTTCCCGATTCCCACAATTGTATCTTAGTTCCTTAATTAAGTTATACTAAAATATCACAAACTCTACAAATAAAATGCTATCACTGTTCCCCAAGAACATAACAAGAAGACAAAGCATAAATGCATTATGCGATTCTTAACAAAAAACATTTTTCATTTGTGCGACAAATATTGAATCTGACTTTCACTAAAATATTTTCAGTTCCAAATATACTGAAAGTATTTATCATCGAACCACTCAGAAAAAGATAATGTAGAAAGTAAAAACCACCTTTCAGTTGACTTCTAAATATATCACTCAGCTTGTCAATTTTGGTCTCTGAGAGCAAAATCTAAAGATGAATTCATTTTAGTGGTAAATGAAAAATTTGATTTTGAAATAAAACAAGTATAGTGTATGATTTTAATAATCTCTACATTTTAAAGTTATTTGCTAAAAGAAAGATCTAGTACAATAAGGAAAACTCTTCCGTGTCAAAAAAATCTACCAAAATACAGGGAGTATCCTTTGACAACCTCCAAGACCATGCACATGAGCAGGACAATCCTATCTCTGTATTAAACAGCAATCCAGTGTGGCCAAATCCACAACGAGCAAAATGCTGGCTTTCCCCCATTGCTCTGCAGAACTCTTAACTGCCTGCTCTACCAAGTGAAGCCCAAGTTAAAAAGCATGAAATAATGAAACAATAAACAGATTGTATTATTTTCTTCCCTGATGATGTTTATTTTAAACTTCATGTGCAATTTTATCAAATAAGAAGTTTGCATAGGAGAGCAATGGTCAATTTCAAAATGATTTTTTTCCCCTCACCTACCTAGCCTGTAATACTACAGATCTGTAACAATCATTCTCTATCCTATACTAATATTTTTTATTAAATTACTAGCTTTCAGGGTGAATATGATCATAATTGCAAAGCTACTGCAAAAATATTTCACCTGACAATTTTTAAATGTTAAAGGAATCACGTTATAGAGTTTTTATTGATGTCTTTTATGCTGTACAAATTGCTTTGTATTGAGTGCACTTTAAGAATGGGAATGTAATTGACTTATCCGTGTCCCATTTCCCACACAGAGGGTCCCGATGGTTTCTGCAGATGTAAGCACACACCATATGTTCTCTCAGCAGAGACCAGGTTACCCCATGGAAGCTCAGAAGTCTTCCTGGGAAGCATTTACTGGGTGCAACCTTAATTAACTAATTCCCTGGGGTGGGGGAGGGGCAAACCTCCTGGGAATCTAATCTAACCTGGTTATATGAAACCTTAGTATTTGAAATGTTTCCCAGATATCAAAAAATAAACTTTACACAAAACGCTGTACAAATACAAATTTTATGTTGTGAAATCTTTCGTAAATAGAAATCAAACAGCAATGTTCCTATCATGCTTTTCAGACTGGCTAACCACTCAGTTTATCACTCTGTACCCCACTGTGGGAAGCACGTGTGCTGTTCCCACCAAATGACACAGATTTCAAAAAGTAAGTATGATTAATTAGATAAGATAAGTGACTGATGTAAAAAGTTCCTTCAGCAAGCTCTCTGTCTGGTCATTTACATGTGATACATGTTACAAAACCCTTTAAAGACAATTTTTGAGAAGTCCAGCTACCCCAGCATAATGAAAGATGTCAAAGAGAAAAAAAGGAAAATTAAAGTCAGGGTGCATAATACATCAAGTTAATCTGCAGTGAAGACTGTACCACATGGAAAGCTGATAGAAGGGAGCACTTATCATAAAACTGTGAACAACCAAAGTGTATACTATAGCAATAATGGTGAACTAGGAAAATACACTTCATTTTAAAAGCGTGTCAGTTCACACAAATACGTAAACACCAGCTTACGTCACCTCCCCCCTCCCTCCCCAGTCTGATTTTTACTTATGGTTATGCATTAACTTCTGAGTCTCCCCTGCCAACAAGACACACTGTTAGGCTTTGGCAACATCAAAATAGCAATCCTTAGAGTTAGAAGGAGAGACTATGGCACTAACAGAACACCGCATTGAACTGACACCTCTGGGAGATCCTGTCTGCCCTGTCTCTCCTACGGTGCATCTTCTGTGGGTGAGAACAAGTGGTTATTTCTGCCCCTCATGGCTGTGAACTGGGAACCTCAATCTCAACCGGAAATTGAGGACCCTGTTGTTTCTTATCTGCAATTGTAGGGTTTAGTTAGGGCTTTGTGCTTCCTGCAGGGACTGGGGCAGCTCCCCATGCTGCTGAGATCCTGGGATTGGAGTTCGGTTGCTCTGTCCCTGTCACCAGCCCTGCTCTGCAGTCCTCCATCATCTCACAACCTCCGACCACAGACTCTGACACACACACACACACACCCCCCCCGCGGCCACACCGCCAAGGGACCTGATTTCATGGCAGTTGATGGAGCCTTCTGGAACAGGACACAGCCTCGGCCGCACGCTCCCTAAGTCCAAGGCTTAGGCTAGAACCCTTTACCCAGTCGGGCTGATCTATCTGCGCCGGTCAGCCGGCAGCATTGTACACTCAGGTGTGGGGGTGGGGTTTTTTGTTTTTTGGGGTTTTTTGTGGGCAAAAAACAAAGCAAAACAAACAAACTCCACAAACACAAACAGCAACAGCAACAACAAAAAACGAATAAACACCAACTTCCCAAGAACTGCATTCTAAACATCTTACTTCTAGAACCTAGGCACTGGTCAGTCATGCACCAAATTCGCCCCCAAATGTCATTTTCCTCCTTTGGAAATTACGCTGGTTTCCAGTTGTCTGTACTTCCTAATTTTCTGTAAAGGGGAAATGCTTTTGGCAGAGAAGGCTCTGTCTCAGCTCCTGGGGAGTTACGGCCACTGGTGGGCACCCTGGACTCTCTCTACCTGCTCGCTTATTCCTCTGCTGCGGGGGAGCTGTGAGCATCTGCCCGGTGAGCCGGCATGAGACACCCCTACCTTTGCTTTTGGAACAAGGATGGCACAGGCAGCCTGCTCCTGCTCAGGTCCTCTGTGCCCCAAGCCTTAGCGAGGCAAATTCTGCCCCCTGTGGGAGAAGGAGGAAGAACACGCGGACAGGCAGAAACAAGACAAAAAAGTATGGGAAGTGCTACACATTGGCTCTCTGTATCACCAACCGGCTCCTGAGCTTTTAAAAAATCAACACGGAAAAAGAGTTTTGACTGGTTACACAATTCACAGTGCCCACAGGCTAGATCGGTCTCTCAGAGAAATACAACAATTCCCGTAACTCACAGTGGAAGCAAGTTCCCCATAGAATCATTACAAAGGGAGGGATTGTGTCTCAGCAGGGTCCACACACTAAGCCAACGTTGAGTTGAACATCACAGAGCTACTTCTTAACACGCTCTTTTATACAGACCAGTAGTACCGCCTTGGGCCCAGTAAAAGCAATTCTGATTATTTGGAGGGATTGTGAATTAGGAGAATAATAGCGTATCACTGATGCATGTGTATCTCTGATGGTGTGAGTTAATCCAGTTGTCAACTTAGAATACTATGAGCAAATGGACTGTATAGCTGCATGTCCTTCAGGGAATTTTCAGGAAGCTTCTGTTAGGTATTGGGCAGTAAGGAGTTAGCAATTATACACCCTAGACTGTGCTTGGAATGTGGCTTTTCTATCTTGCTAATTTAATAGAGACCCACTGAGCCTTAGCGACTAAGCTGAGCCTAAACGACCACGTTGAGGATAATGATGGCATCCTCTTGGGCAGTCAAGGGGCCCAACAAGGACACATTGGTGTAGAGAGAGCAGCCAGAGGTCCCTGCCCGGCTGCAGGCACAGAGAGTAGGGGGCATCCAGTGTAGGAGACCGCCGGCCTTGCTCATGCTGGACGTGAGGTCATAATAGTGCTAACACAGCCGTGGCCCTAGATGGATGCAGGTATCCTAGAGTATGGTCATAGGAGCAGTTCTTACCACAGGCTGCTCTTCCTTTGCAGATTTCTTTGGAGTCTTAACTTTCCTGGTCTTCACAGTTGAGACACTGATGGAGGGTGAGTGTGGTCTTGAATTTGCTCTAGGTCTGGATGGAATCCTGGGCTGTAAGGGCCACGGGGACACAGCAGTCTCTTTCACCTTGACTAGTTTCAGGCTCTGGCACACAAAAAGAAGCAGCTTGGTTATTCTCACTTCATTCTCCAGAATCGTGTCCCTTTCGTTTCCTCCTGTGAGTTGGCATTGCAGGGTCAGATTTTCAGTCCCAAAGGGCATGGGTCTGGTCCTTTTCCCAGTGCTACACTCCCCCTTTTGGCCTGATTTAATGTGTCAGCTGGGTCTGTTTTTCCTCTCCTCCCACTGATGCTACTGTACTAAGAAAAACATACCAACAGATCAGTGTTTTCTGGAAGCACCTGGAAAGGTGGGAGTGGGGTGAGGAGTGGGGTGACATGACAGCTTGAGGTCTGTATCTTATTTGTAGGAAGCTAGGGGAATAGAAGGTAGGAGTATAGGGACAGGGATCTGAAGAGATACGGCATGAGCCTAAGGCTCGGTGTACCGGGACAACACTTTCCCCTTCCTTCAGCCAGGTTTGCCTTCTTGTTGGCTTATACCCCTCTCACTGAGCTCAGCCATCACTCCTGGGCTTTCTATCCACACTTTTAAGGATTTTCTCCTTCAAACTCGAATCTTGGAAAGTGAAAAGTCTCAATATGGTATGTATACCTTTTTCAACCCAGATGTCAAAATAAGACTCACACAGAATAAAAGAAGAAAAAAATAACTTAAATTTAAATGCAAACCTTGCCACCTAGGCTGTCCAACTTTTTCCTTGTTTCCATGTCCTCCTTCTGTTTATTAATCTGTGAAATTGAAGGCGCACATTATTTGTTATCATTTGCAAAGATTAAAAAGGAGAATTTTCTATAAAACTTCCTCAAGCAATGGAAGAATACAATGGTAAACCACTTAACTGCTAACACAATTATGAGAACGTAAGTTATAATGGTGCATATGAATTAGAAGAGAAAATTAATTTGTACCTAAAAAAAGAGCACTTAAAGAGGTGAACAGAAAGAAAGTTGTAACTGTTTAAAATCATTAGCATTTGCTCATTGTTTTAAGCATAATAGAAATTATAGAGAAACATAGATCGTTTGCTTTTGTGGTAATAATTTGTTTCATATATTATTATGATAGTTATAAATTCCAGGTCTTATAAAAGTTTTGGAGAAATTTCAGATAATGCAATAGCCAGACTTCAATAATATAGTGATAAAATTTTGACTTAAAGAGTCAATTCTAGTTTCCAGGCATAAAAGCCTTTTTATCATATATGTAATTGAGATATAATCGACATAGAAAATTATATTAGTTTCAGGTCTACAACATAATAATTCAAAAGTTAAAAAAATAATAATTCAAAAATTGTATATGTTGCAAAATGATGGCCACAATAAATCTAGTTAACATCCATCACCACACAGTTTTAATTTTTTTCTTGTGATGGGAACTTTTAAGATTTACTCTCTTAACAACTTTCAAATATATAATACAGTACTATTAACTATGGTCACCGTGTTGTACATTACGTTCCCGTGACTTATTTATTTTATAGCTAGAAATTTGTATCTTTTGACCACCTTCACCCATTTCACCCACTTCCCACCCTACCTCTGGCAACCACTGATTCATTCTCTATAAGTTCATATTTTCATTTTGTTTAGATTCCACATGTAAGTGAGAATATACAGTATTTGTCTTTCTCCGACTTCACTTGGTATACTTTCCTTAAGATCCATCCATCTGTTGCAAGAGGCAAAAAATATATTATTAATGCATGCTTCAATAATATCAAGCTTTTTTTCATCAAATGCATATGTGACTAATGCTAGGGATTCTAATTCTGGCTAATCTTATGAAATTAAACAATGATGAGATATACCCCTAATCATTAATCTCACAGGTACAATTATTTTCCAAAATATCTCTCACCTACAGATAGGGCAGGTCTGTCTCATGAAATCTTGAGGTCTGGAGGGACAGTAACTGATGTCCATGAAGCACTGCATTTAGGAAGAACTGGGCAGGTGTGCTAAGATGAAGGATAATATGCAAAGCTTCAATTTTACTTTAAATGCAATGGGATACCAATGAATAATTTTAACTGTTGGGGGGTATGAATGGGACATGATAATATTTATTGTATGAAGTCATAATTTGGGGGGAGTCATGTTTCTGGTCATGGCTGAGTAACTGCTATGAAACCAACCTTCCCACAGATGACAACGATAAGCTCCAGAAAAAACATATTTAAAAAAATTACCTGAAGACAATGGCTTTTAACTTAGCAGCAGTGCCCAGTCTGTCTGTGTGGAACAACTAAAACTATGATGGGAAAACTGCAGCCTTTCAGGATTGTTGGAGACACACTTCAGGGAAACCAGAGCCAGGGAAAGTTCCAAGGCAAGGAAATCCCAAGGAAAGCCAGACGGCAGAGCCCCAAACTTTGTGCGTAAATTTTGCCCAAATCCTTAGCAGATGCCTGAATCATGCTTGGCAGTGAAGCTAAGGCTCAAAGATTGAGTTGAGACTTGAGCTTCCCTCCACTGCATGCGAGACAGAGTTTGCAGTTTAAATCCAAGTTAATTGCCTGATTTTTTTTTTTAAAGTAGGCTCCACACCCATCATGGAGAGAGAACAGGGCTTGAACTCACCACCCCAAGATCAAGACCTGAGCTGAGATTAAGAGTTGGTTGCTTAACTGACTGAGCCACCCAGGCATCCCTAATTGCCTGATTTTTAAAAATAACACACAGCATTCATAATGCCTGTAAAATCCCCAAATGCTCAACATACAATTGTATGTTGCTGATCTATTCTCGAGCGAAAAGACTCTTAACACAGACTGAGAGTGAGATGGTACCTCAAAAATAGTGGAATGAGGTCTCTAAAGTGTGGAAAGAATGAAAGAAAAACAAACACTGTTAACTCGGAATTCTGTACTGCCAGAAAATATTTTTCAAGATGGAAGTGTCTGAAAGATACAGAAGGATTGCATCAATAGCAGTCCTGATCTACAAGCAACATTAAAGGAATCTCCTCAGACTGAAATGATCCCAGGGAGAACCTCCAATCTTTAGGAAGGAATGTAGAGCATCAGAAATGGTCAATATGTAAGACTATTTTATCTTAATTTCTTTCAAATACATACAACGGTTTAAAGCAAAAACTGTAATATTGATGTAAATATAATACATAAAACAACTTTAATTTGAAGAATGGAAAAATAAATCTATATAAACAAACCTATATATTTCAAAGTTTCTATATTTTACATGAAACTGCCTTAAATTAACTCTAAGTAAACTGTAAAAAGTTAAAGATGTAAATTATAATTGCTAGAGCAACCACTAAAAGATAGGCAAAAAGCCAAAATAATAATAAATAAATTAGGGGCGCCTAGGTGGCTCATTCAGTTGAGCAACTGCCTTAGGCTCAGATCATGATCCTGGAGTCCCAGAATGGAGCCCCACGTCAGACTCCCTGCTTCTCCCTCTCCCTCTGCCCCTGCCCTGCTCCTTCTCTCTCTTTCTCTCACTCTCTCTTAAATAAATAAATAAAATCTTTTAAAAAAGATAATAAATAAATTAAATTGGAATTCTAAAATATATTAAAAGGACAGCCAAAAAAAAAAAAAAAAGAACAGAGGAAAGAACAATGAAAAACCTGGAGGGGACATATAGAAAACAAATAATAAAACGGTAGACCTAAATCCAACCCTATCAATAATAACACTGAGTGTTGATAGACTGAACAGTCTAGTTAAAATGCAGAAATAGGCAGAATGTATAAAACAGCAAGACCCAATTATTTGCTATCTATAACACAAGCACTTTAAATATAATACACAGAGAGGTTGAAAATACATGTATTGAAAAAAATGCAATGCAAACATAAGAAGGCTGGCAGTACTACATTTATGCCTAACATGTATAGTAGATTTTAGGATCAGAGAATTACTAGAGATAAAGAGGGACATTTTATAATGATAAAAGGATCAATTCATGGGAAGACATAATAATTATAAATACAAATGCACCTAATAACAGAGCTTTAAAACACATAAAGTAAAAATTGGCAAAATTGTATATAGAGAAAAATAACACCCCTCTCCCAGGAATTGAAAGAAATAAACAGAAAAGTTAAAGACATACAGATAACCTAAAAAACACTATTACTACCTTGATTTAATTGATAACAACTGCATCAACAGCAGAATATAAATTATTTTCAAGTAGATATAGTACAGTCCCATGATAGACTACATGCTGTTTGGCCATACAATGACTGCCAACAAATTTATAAAAATTTAAATCATAGGGAGGATGTTCTCTGATCACAATGGAATTAAACTAGAAATCAATAACAAAAAATATATCTAGGAAAATCACTAATATTTATAAATTAAACAACACAGTTCTAAATCACAGGGGAAATCAGAAATTAGAAAATATCCCAAACTGAATGAAATATAGGATACCAAAATGTGTAGGATGCTGCTCAGAGGGAGATTAATAGCTTTAAATGCTCAATTAAAAATAATAAAAAGCCTGAGATCAATGACCTTAAGTTCCACCCTAAGAAGGTTAAAAAAAAAAGAGCATAGTAAACAAAAAATAAATAGAGGGGGGAAAGGGACAAAGATCAGGGCAGATATCAGTGAAATAAAAAAGGAAAAAAATAGAGAAAATAGAGCCAAAACTAATTTCTTGAAAAGATCAGCAAAATTAATAGCCCCCCAACTAGACTGATCAAGAACATAATTTACTAATATCAGGAATAAAAGAGGATTTATTATTTCCGATCCTATAGATATTAGAAGGATAATAAGAGAATGCTATGGAAAACCTCATATCAACAAATACGTAATTAAATAAAGTGAACAAATTGAATAATACAACCTAGCAAAACACAAAATGAAATAAAAAATGTGAATAGCTCTATAGCTATTAAAGAAAATAAATCCATTATCAAAAACTTTTGCATAAAGAAAACTCTAGGCCCAGATAGTTTCACTGGTGAAGTCTATCAAACATTTAAGAAAGAAATGACAGAAATCTTTTTACTAACACCACTAAAATTGTTTTCAGAAGATAGAGAAGACATTTCTCAAGTCATTTTATGAAGCCAGCATAACTCTAACACTAAAACCCAAAAAACAAACATACACACACAGAAAGAAAATTTAGAGATCAATGTCCCTTATGAACATAGATTCAAAAGTCTTCAATGTACTACTAACAAACTGAATGCAGTAGCGTATAAAATGTATGAAAGGTCATAACAAAAAGGGGCTTATTTCAGGAATGCAAACCTGCTTCGACATTCACGAACCAAAGTATTTCACCATATTATGGGGGTTAAAGAAAAAAAATATAGTTGTTTCAATAGCTGCAGAAAAAAAGCATTTGACAAAATTCAACTGCCATTCACGAAAGAAACTCTCAGAAAACTAGGAATAAAAGGAAACCTCCTCAACCTGACAAATGACTACCATGAAAAACTCACAGCCAAATCATACTTAATGATGACATAATAAAGTTTGCCCCCCTAAGACTGGGAAGGAGAAAAGAATATTTCTTCTCACCACTGTTATGCAACATTGTATTGCAAGTCCTAAACGTTATAAATGTTTATAACATTTTATATAACATTATAAGTTATAAAACATTAAAAAGAGGGGTGTCTGGGTAGCTGGATCGGTTAAGTGTCTGCCTTTGGCTCAGGTCATGATCCCGGGGTCCTGGGATTGAACCCCACATCAGGCTCCCTGTTCAGCAGAGAGTCTGCTTGTCCCTCT